TTCTCGAAGGGGAAGGGCGTGGGGGCCCCGCGGGCCGCAGGGCTCGGGGTGGGCAACTCAGGTCTGCCCGGTGCTGCCGGGAACGGGCTTTTCCCGGCGAGGGGGGTGAGGCGGGTGTGAGAAGCACCATCGCCCACCAGCTGTAAGGGCTTCGTCTTGGTGTACTTCACAGCTGGGGTCACCTTCACTCCCGCGTGCACGGTGGTGAAAACCAGCATCACAAAGGCCGAGATGGGCCCCGGTGAGCTCCACATGTTGGCAGCTGTAGGAAAAGACAAACACAGTAATAAACTGGTTGCACAACCCCCTTCGCATTCCCATGGTCCCCACAAAGCCAGAAGACCTGCGTGAGCAGTGCCAGACACACGTGGGCATCCGCCTGGAGGACGCCGTTACAAAGCCTCACTTTTTATGGGGAAAATAAAGCAAAATCAGCAAAACTTCCTGCCTGCTCAACCCCTGCTGACCATCACCCTACAAAGCTCTTGTCATTTGGCTGCTCCTGTTCAATGTGGTCCCAAGTGCTCCCACGGGTATCAACTGGATAGGGATACCATCAAGGGACTGATGGGATGGGATACCTATCAAGGGACTGACTGGGAGTTACAGTGTCACTGGGACACAGGATGTATCTCCTCCGAGTGTATAATTAGGAATAATTCAATAATTATTTCAGAGTCCAGCACAACTGCACATTATAGAAAGCTTTGCTCTAAAAGAATAAATGGAAACAAAACGAATCATCAAGCATTCCAAAATTTTTATGTCGATTTTTCCTTTGTTACTGACTGATTTTCTGGACTTGCTTATTCTTTTAGTGCCAACTTTCAGGTCTGCTCTTTTTATTTTTGAAGTGCTGATTTAGCTGAACTAGGAAGAAAGAACAAAGTAAGAAGTACACATTTTTTCCTATAGGACAGATGATGCCTCTCAGATGACTTGTCATATAAAGCATCTTTGTTTCTTTTTCAAACCAGTGTACTGACCTGTAAACACAAACGGAACAGAGCCCCCTTCTTGCTGAACCTGTAATCTGACCTTCCTCAGCAGCCCCAGCACTTCATTACATCAAAAACTCACCAGGAGAAACGCTGACTGTCCTTGCCATCCAGAGGGCAAAGGAGGTCCAACTCAAAGTCAGGTATTTGAGGGCTGGATTATAATCTTTCCATCTTGAAGAATTCGGTTTTAAAGGAAAGGGGTCATGATTTTTTCCATCTTCACACAAAACCAAATCATTTCATAGAAAATTGCTTATCCACACAAGATCCCCAGTGATCGCTGTTGCCTATTGCTGCTGTTCAACCTACTCTTCACCTCATCAGCTCCAGTAAAAGATAAATTATCCCTTCTCCATGCGTGTCGCATTAGGACAGGATACCAGGCACTGGATTTTGGTCATAGGCTCGTATTTTCTCCCAACCAGCCCCTGCCAACCTTACCATGAAGAGTTTAACTCCGGGGCGGTTGGTGCTCAGCGCAGGCAGGCACAGAGGAGCCAGACCTTACGGCCAGCAGCAGGGAAGCAGCTGCAGTTGTAGAAAGGGAGGGTCATCTGCTGTCTAGGAGGAGAAAAAAACCCATCAAATTTTCTTTTTGAAGAATATACTCACGTAGGAGTGTTTTGCCACTGCAAATAAACAAACCCCTAACTTCCACACACTGAGAGCCAGTGGCAGGAAGAAACTGCAGCTTTAGAAACCAAGTAACTTTATGGGGAAATGGTAAATGGGTTTTCAAATCAAAACTGTTTCTATGTTTTACTGTCACAAAACAACTTCTGCAACAAGCCCTAAAACCAGACACTCTCCAGTTACATGGCCAGATTGATGGATTGCCGTCAAGTACTGGAAAAATATAATTCGTAAAAAAACTATACCTTACCAGTCTGGTTAGAAAATAAACTACTCAAAGACATATTTTAAGAGGCAAGACTGTTCCTAAAATAATTATTCTTAAATATATAAACACATTTGAATAAAACTGACATTTTGGACATTTCCATTACACTAGCTTACCACCACTGATTCTAAAATTCATTTGAATCCCCCCACTAGGAAAGATTATGATTCACAGCAGACACACAATATGAAGAATTAAACTTTGCCACAGTGACATCTCATTCGGTACCTTTATATTTAATTGGATCTAAATATCCACTAATTGTTAGCATGTGTCCCAAAATAACATTGTAATAATACAGTTGTTCTTTAGTTTGGTCCCTAAAATTATAGTATTTAGCTATTCCAGTTCACAACAGGTATTTAACCCCAATCTCCCAGTTTTAATTATCAGGGAGATGACTGCACTTTCTGTTATTTAATTATTTCAAGTTATAGAATCATAGAATCACAGAATGGTTTTGGTTGGAAGGGACCTCAAAGATCATCCAGTTCCAACCCCCCTGCCATGGGCAGGGACACCCTCCACTTCACCAGGTTGCCCTTAACTGGTTGTTCCCAGTTCTTATACAGGGGAGGAAAAACACTAGCCCTCATGCAGCTCTACATTCTTTACAGACAGTAATTTTTCTAGAGACAAATTATATTGCTGCTACGTCTTAAATTCTACAACTTCATTGCAAAAATCCCGCCTGGAGACTAAATGACCAGTAGGTGCTATCTCCTACCTTATAAACGGCCCTGCTCCCAGGATGACCCCCCCTCCACGGCACTTTGAAAAACACAATCTTATTTTCAGAGAGAATCGGTTTTATTTGAGTAACGGCTGCTCCCGCGGCCAATGAGAGCCTGCACGGTGCGGGGAGAAGGGGGGATTGGCAAAGTCCCCTGAAAGGAGCACGGTGACACTGAAATTTGAGGAAATTCAAACATTTTGCCCAGGCTGGAACACTGATGTTCACATGGGACTCTTTTGGCTCTTCTCCCTGGTTTTCAGGGCTTTAGGGACAGACCCTCCCCTTTCAACTCGCAGCATCGTGTTTTGGTACCATCAGACCCGGCGTGAATTTGTCCATTTGTTTCAGCAGGGTCCAGGTTTCTCTCTCGGTATTTAATGTGCAGAGTTTGGCATCGCACTCCCCTCCCCGTGATGGGACTTTAGAAGGGGTAAAAGAGAGATTTCAGAAATAGCTGTAAGGGATCACGAGTGCACGTGTCTGCACGGAAACGCACCGAAAGGGGAATTCAGCCTCGAGTCTGGGCTGTCCCAGGTGAAGGCAGAGATGGAGCAAGCATATGCTTTCTTCTCCCTCCACCTCTGGTGCAGAGCAGGGCACCTGTGGTGCACAGCAGAACAAAACCCTGATGGAAAAAGGAACAAATCCACCCCAGGAGGCTTGTTACAACATTGTTCTTACTGGAACCGATAACCCCTCTGGATTTTACAAGCTAGCTAATTGATTTTCCTCGCTCTCTCCCAGCAATTACAGCACTCATTTCCTTCCCCAGTGACCTTAAAACGGGCCAGCATTTATTCTTAGATTTCCCAACCCAGTTCAGAGCGCAGCACGAAACGCAGGAACGCCAGGCTGCCTTTCACTGCCTTGTCCTGGTGAAATATGAGCAAGGAAACCATCTCATTCCATCAGCCTGAATTTACTACGTACCAGTACACTCAAAGCTCGGCTGCTGGACAAGAAAGGCTGCTTGTTTCAGGCAAGCTGGAGAAAACAATCAATTCTCCTTTAATGTAAGTGGAGAGAATTGTAATCCTCCGTGATTTATTTGCGACCACCTTTTTCTGGCCAGTACTCTACAGCTTTCAGCAATAACAAGTTGATTAAGGAAAGTCTATTACTAAATATACCAGGCTTGATTGATTCACCAGATTTCCAGGCTATTCCAAAGAAATCAATTAGGAGTTTGGCAGTGAGATGCTCTAACCCCATGTAGGACACGGGCTTGTCACAGCTCCTGCAATGGAACCTGCACCAGCACTCACTGATGCTCATTCATACTGCTGGAACCAGAGCTGGATCCTGAATTCAAGCAATTATTTTTTAAAAATTAATAACTGTAATTGGACTCAATGTTTTAAACTGAAGTTAAAAATACTCATGTCTTCAGCAGTTACATTTCTGATAAGATCATGGACACATAAATTGAAGATCAAAGGCAATCAATTCAGTTATAATGAAATCCTTATTTTGGTCTTAACCCAGGACTTTTCATTAGCAATGGAAGTTATTCAACAGGGGAAGATTAATCATTTTTAATCAAGATTACTACGTTTTACAGTGTTGCCTCCATATTCACCAAAGCTACTCGTTCACAGACTTCAATTTAATGCCATATTTGCTGCACACTAAAGCTAAAGTAAGAAACACAGCTTTAATCCTGCATTAGTGTATTTTCCTGAATATCTTGAATAGTAGCAGTCTGGAACAGTATTATTAGATTATGTGACAACTGCAGGTTTTTGAATTATACAGTGCTTATTGAGCTACTGAAGCAGTTTGCAAAACTCATGAGTTGAGAGCGTAAATTAAGATTTAGCACTAGATTAATCACTCTGTTTATTCGGGGGATCTGAATCTACGTTTTACTGATATAAATGATGCATGTGGGACATTCAAATTCCTTCAAAGTACATTTCAAACACGTTCCTAGCCTTGCATATTTGCAGATACCTGGTTTTGGCTGAGATTTGCAAAGCTAAGTAAAAAAAAGCTGTGTCCATGCTATTGATTTCTACCAGTGCGTCCACCAACCAGGAACAGGAAGGTCTGGGATCTTCTCATAACTCCCAGGTCACTAGAAGCTCCTCCTGGGGTTTGGCAAAGCAAACATGTGAAAGCTATTTCATCCTGGAAAAAGCTTTAACTAGCATAAAGTTAAACTTTTTTTACATTTAACTTCCCCAGGAAGCAGCATCCTTGCAACAAATAATCCTTGCAACGTTATCAGAGATGGGGAGGAAAGGAAGGGTTTCACCTGAGACCCTCAGCTCTCCTCTCCTCCATAGCCTGATGTGTCCCTCCTGGACACATCAGGGTCCTGAACCTGGATGGGGCCACAACAACCTCCTACTTGTGGGATCCTCTCCTTGGCTGCCACTCTGAAACACAGAGGGACACAGTAAACTGTGTAAATATATTTTATATTAAACTAATGGAGCACTTCTTAAATAAGATCAGCAAAGGAGATTCAAAAAGCACCTCTCAGAGGGTTCCACTTCCAATTGTTTGCAAAGGAAAATAGAAAATTCAGACCTGCAGACACAAGGTAGACTAATCAAGTGAAAAAAATCTGGTTTGGAAATATAATAAAGGAGGAAACAGCGAAAACCCAAGCAGCATAGAAAATAAGCTAGGTTTGTAATAATAGGTAATTTAAAATGTGAATGCTCGAGTATCAAGAAGGCAAACTGGAAAAGACAGTATTCACATAGAATAGGAAGTGAGTAAAAATGGAATTAAATTACATTCAAGCTGGGTAAAAAGTGTTAAAAGGAAATTAACACATTTCTGTGTGAAAAAACAATTAACACTTCCCACAGGATTTCCCACAACAATTTAGCAGACCTGCTGGAAAAGCCCCTCCCCCCCCCCCCCGCCAATAATTTTATTTTCTGAAAAAATGAAATGTGTTCTGGTCTCTTTTATTCATTATCACAAAACAATTGAGCTAAACAGAAAACAGACTGAAATGAGAATTTTCTGCTATTTTGTTAATTAGGGGAGGGAATATTTCCATATAAGACAGTACAACAGATAAATTAAGTCGAGTTACAACCTTTTTTCTCCTCTCTCACGTACTCAGTATGTCGCAGCCTCCCAAATGTCACTTGGAGGCAGTCCCAAAGGGACAGCAAGAATTCACCCTCGCTGGGTGAAAAAAAAAAGCAGAAGGCTATTTTGGGGGGGGTGGGCAGGGTTTGAGACCCACTGAAAAAGCTATAATTTCATTTTCTCCCCCCTTTTCCTTCTGTCCTTTCTCTCTTTTTCAACCTGGAAATCCAGCCAGCCCATGTTCTCCAAGCTGACCCCTTTTTCCAGGGACTTCAGGGTCCCAACAATCCTCAGACACCAGGTGACCCCACGTGTCCCTTCCAGCCCTTCCCACCCATTTCTCCTTTATCCCCCTCGGACATCTTTTCTCCCCAGTTACCTCTCAGGCCTGTGTCACCTCTGGGACCCAGTTGCCCCTTGTAGCCTGCAGTTCCTGGAGATCTTCTAGGACCACTTTGTACTCTCCAAGAAGGAAGTCCTGTTTCACCACTGGCCACCTGATTTCTCCCATCAGTCCTTGCTGTCCAGGTCCTCCTGGGGATCCTCGTATTCCTCTTTTCCCAATGCATTCTGGTTTACCCACAAAAGGGAAAAAATGGTTAAATTCCGTTTACTAAGAACAACACATAGAATAGACAGAATCCAGACCTGTAGCAGAGCCTTCACTGGTCATGCAATTTTCCCAGAATTTTTATTTTTTTCAAATTTTTCCTGAAATTTTAAATTTTTTTTCAAAATTTTTCTGATTTTTTTTGAATTTTAAAACTTTTAAAAAACTTTTCCCTCAGTTTTTTAATTTTTCCCAAACAAATTACCTGTTCAGCTAAATAATGTCAAATTTTTCTACGCGACATATGACTACTGAGAACT